CAATATACCTCAGACAATGGAATATGTCCAAAGTAATATAGGTATAATGAATCAATCATTGTCACGAACTTCAGAGGATCGTGTAGGTCTGTTTCTCGTACAATCTGAAGTGTAACCACATCCTTAAGAGTCCAAATTTGTTATTATTCATTATTATTATTATTATTTTAAATGCAAATGGGTTTTACCCGGTGACAGTGGTACTACAATAAGATACAACACACAAATAACACACATCACGCTAAAAAAGACAGCGCACTAAAGTACACAAACAATAAAGGACACATTACACAAACTGAATACAATACAAATACAGTACAATTATGTGTATATACGAGTATTTTATTTCTTGCGTATTTATTTGTTCCGTCGTTTGGGATAATATATGAAAATGAACTTCGAAGTTTATACACATTAGCTATTAACGTTTTAAGGGAGGAACAGTAGACTGAGGGTGTTTGAGAACAGGGTACTGAGGAGAATATTTGGACCGAAGATGGATCTAATGACAGGAGGTTGGAGAAAACTGCATAACGAAGAGCTCATAACTTGTACTTTTCGCCAAGTAGAATTAGAATGATCAAGTCAAGGAGGGTTAAATGGGCAGGGCATGTAACACGAATGGCGAAGAAGAAGAATACGTATGGGATGTTGGTTAGAAAGCCAGAAGGAAAGAGGCCACTAGGAAGACCAAGATGTAGGTGGGTGGACAATATTAAAATTGGTCTTGGACAAATATAATGGGGTGGTACGGACTGGATCGATCTGGCTCAGGACAGGAGCCAGTGGAGGGCTCTTGTGAACACGGTAATGAACCTTTGGGTTCCATAAAATGATGGGAAGTTCTTGAGTAGCTGCAAATTTGGCGGCTTTTTGAGTGAGAGTAATTTTCATTCACAGCTGTGAGTATCTCAAATGTCACATAGTAATCCCTTACTGTGGACCGCGCCATAGCTCAAGTGGTTAGTCGCTGGCTTCCCACCATAGCGGCCCGGGTTCGATCCCGGGTCTGGTCAAGTGGGATTTGTGGTGGGCAAAGTGGCGCTGGGGCAGGTTTTCTCCGAGTACTTCGGTTTCCCCTGCCAATCTTCATTCCACCAATTGCTCCAGTAGAGTGGCCACAGAACAAGGGACTTAGTCCCACCCCGCTAGCAATAAAAGAGAATCCCTTACGGTGAGCTATTCTTTAGTTTCATTCGACTGCACTGAAGAAGAAAGTAGGAGATTTACCCCAGACATAGGTAAATATTTACCAGACTATAAGGTGTAAAATCCCAGAAGACAGTAATTTTCGTAGTCACACCCGTGAGAACTCCAAAAATCATTCAGTAATGCTCTATGAAGAAGTTATTCTATGTTCCATCTTTTCTACCCTGAAAATGGAGGCAGAAGTTTCCTGCGAAATGGCGTGACTAAGAGCCGGGATAACGCAGTCGGTATAGCGACTGCCTAGGGGCTGCGAGACCAAGGGGTCGGAGTTCGAGTCCCGAGGGGGACATGAATTTTTACTTCCCCATATCGTCCAGACCGGCACTGGGAACCATCCAGCCTCCTATTCCCCTGGGATAAAGCGGCCAGTGCGTGAAGCTCACCATTCGCCTCCAGCTAATGCCGAGGTCAAGTAAACTTGAGTCTATATATCCACTCCCCGTACGTTTTCATGGCGTCACTCTCCACAACACAGTAATTTTCATTGAATTCTCCATGTACGCCTCAAAAATCACATGTGACTGTTTTTTTCTCTGCGACCTGTAGAGTGGTGACCTACGAGTTACGGTCCCTGCTCGGTAAAATTCCTACCCTGTGTAGAGCGGTGCATTGATTGATTGCTTTGTCAAAGGTTATGTGTTGACAGCTCATCAAACCAGCGACATGCAACGGGTATTCAGAAAGCTACGTTTGTTCCTCGATGAACATAGTCACCAAGTTCAATTCTCCTTTACAGTGGAATGTGAAGCCGTGTAGTCTGGTTCAAATTTAGCGACATTTCGCGGGGACATCTTACCTCTCTTTTCAGTGTCGAAAAATAAGAAAATTGTGCAATCAGCAAGAAGAAAACGTGCTTATTGCAAAATTCTGTGGGTCAAGATAACCGAAGTCTGGTGATACATACATTTAGACTTAATTATATGCATTATATCCGGGTTTTTTCCCCCCTTGGCACTACAGCCCCAGTGGGCCTAGGCCTACCTCCATGAACTTCTCCGTTCACTTCGGTTTTTCTAGATCTTACACATTCGGTAGGACTCCTTGTACGGGTGATCAGCTCGTCGCAAGGCCTCTACCTGTACACAAACACAGAAAAACGCACACATACACAAACTAAACATCCATGCCCTGAGTGGGATTCGAACCCACGATCCCGGCTTCCAAGCGAGCGAAGACAGTAGATGCCTTAGACCGCTCGGCTACCGTGACCGGCATTATATCCGTTTAGTCTGGGAAAAGTATTTTAGGATGATTACGTTGTACGTATTTATTATCAAAATGCAGTGTAGGACTAGACCTCACAGTAAAAGAACTGGTTCACTGTATTATCACGATTTAGTGTGTGTGTGACTATAGACGGGGTATGGATCGGATATTGGATTTATTAACCACTTGTACACACCAATTAGAACTATAGGCAATTATAGCGCTACCGCTAATCTCCACAATTTACAGTTCATCATAGCACCCGATAAGCCATTTCCAGCCTCCGGAAATCTCAATCGAATTCTCTGACGCAACTGCCAATTATCTTCTCTATTATTCTGCCAACGCCAATTCCCAAGACTCTCTCAATTATTATTAGCCCTCCTGGGGTCGTCGTTATATAGCCTCGGTGCGGACCCAACAGAAAACACCGTTTCCATCGTTATAACCCAACAATACCTCGATTGTTGTTTGCGTATTCGTTGCTGCTGGAACGTGTCTACTGAGCCGTTGCTTAGCAATGTACGTCACTATTCCGGATTTCAGAAGTTATGTCGTAATCTGAACAGGTTATCAGTGGCTGTGGGTTGGAGGACCAAGTTTAGAATCCCGGTTCAGGCTGGAATTCTTCTCTATTCATCCTGGAACTCAACCGATTTTCCATGCAATGGTACGTAGTGTAAAGCAGTTGGCTGGTGAACTGTGGTCCCTGCTGAACTAACAGAACTTTTCACTTAATATCCAGTAACCTTCTTGGTTCTATGGTCCGTAGGAGCTCTTTCGAGAGATTTCGTGTTCTCACTGCTAGGACCATGAACAGTAAGTTGCATCATATTCCGCGCCATAGCTCAAGCGGTTAGTCGATGGCTTCCCATCGCGGCGACTCGGGTTCGTTCCCAGGTCTGGTCAAGTGGGATTTGTGGTGGACAAAGTGGCGCTGGGGCAAGTTTTCTCTGAGTACTTAGGTTTCCCCTGCCAATATTCATTCCACCAATTGCTCCACAATCACCCTTACCTATCTTCTGGGGCTGGTACAATAGGCCAGAAGTGGCCGCAGTACAAGGGATTTAGTCCCACCCCACTAGCATTAAAAATAAATTAGTCCCACCCCACTAGCAATAAAAAAAAGTTGCATCGTCTTCCGGGATGTAACAATTTGTAGTTAAAAAGACAGGTGTCAAAGTTGAGGCGAAAACTGATATCTACTTCATAATGGTAGAAGGCGATAATTGTTATAATAACTATGATATGCTTTGGAATACCTCGGTTCGATTCCCGGCAGTGGCAAGAATTTTCTATCCCCCACGAAGTCCAGACCGCGTCTGGGGCTCACACAGTCTCCTATCAAATGGGTACTAGTGATAAGGCAATCGGGTCATAAAATTGACCACTTATCTCCACCTAATGCCGGTGTTAAGAATGCACGGAGCTATACCTTCATTCACCCATTCTTCATGGCGTGGCGATTAATTGAACACAAGGATAACGCTGTCCCTTTATGCTTAAAGAAAGATTTACTTATTTTATTGCTAGTGGGGTGGGACTTAGTCCCTTGTACTGCGGCCACTTCTGGCCTATTTTGCCAGCCCCAGATGATAGTTGAGGGTGATTGTGGAGTAATTGGTGGAATGGAGATTGGCAGGGGAAACCGAAATACTCGGAGAAAACCTGCCCCAGCGCCACTTTGTCAACCAAAAATCCCACTTGACTATTACCGGGATCGAACCCGGGCCGCCACGATGGGAAGCCAGCGACTAAATGCTTGAGCTATGGCGAGGCCCCAAGATTGACTTTAGATTAGGACATTGTCGATGCGACATTGAGTGAAAGCGGTGACAGTAAGGACAAAATGAAAGGAAGCGTGAAGAATTATGTCAAAATTGTGTACTATTCGAGTCCAGACATTTTAAGGCCAGATTCCGAAATATTGTGTATTTCACTGAGGCACATTACGGCAAGATTGTATTCGTTATTGAACATTGTCATATACACATTATATTATACGACGTTTTTCTTTCCCCATATGCATATCTGTCTCCTGCAAATTATATTTGACGGTAACAGTATATATGAGCAGTTTAAAATGCCTTTCGTTCCCCAGTGATAGAAACTTGCTGTGTCTAAAGGACCCAACTGACTAAGATTCCTTCCCCCTTTTACATCTGATGGTGGAAGTAGATCCACCTTCCGAAACGCCGTGCAATTTAAATATACATTTGACAATGGACAATCTCCATCATAATAGTTTTTTAATTGAAAAGAGACAATTGTCACATTCCCTTGTAGGATCAGTAGAATTTCTAACCTATATTTTAAGTTATAATCTAGTCTTCCGTAACACTTTCCTGTGGGTTAGTATTAATATATTGACCTATATGTAACAATAATCCAGCTCATACTGAGTGGATAATGCAATTTAGGGCGTCTCCTCACCATGAAAATTGATAGAAAGAAAAAAAGTTGTGCAAAAGAAGATCATTTCGCATGCGTATTGTAGTAGTTTTTACGCTGGCCAATAGGGGTGCTGCGAGTGGGTAGGTCGTGTGGATATGAGAGCGATGTGAAGGAACACAGCCCGCCAGAACCACGCAGACGCGCACGTCGATTGTCGTTTGTTCTGCTGAGACTCGCTTGAACAGACGCAGCGCGGCGAGCGTCCATTAAGCATCTTGAGGCAAGCAGCACTGGTTCTCTACCGCCCCTAGCCGGGGGCAGGCAGCTACTCTTACATGTCAGCCGCCCCCGGACACTATGGAAACTTGAGGGGGGTTCCACGTCCACAACAGTAGCAACGCAGCAATAGTCGGTGAGTGTTTCAAGCAAATTACGAGTATTTTGGCGGGTTAATATTTTTGAGTCGATTGCAGAGTTTACTGATGTAAAATTATGTAGCACAGATATCGAGAGTTAGGCACATAAAGTATATTGCTCTCATACTGAAAGATTATTAAATAGCTTGCTGTTGTTACCTAGTAAAGGGCGAATCAAACCTGAATAATGTGCAGAGCTGGAGTTCCTACCTCACAGTAAACAAACTGCTTATCCATAAGAAAAACCTGTCGGTTAATGCTGTTTGCGGAAATAACCGATTTCGAGAAACACATGAATTACAATGCCGTTTGTTAGGAAAACACAAGAGTTTCTTAATGTTAAAACAGGTGGTGGCTATCTATGTTTTAATAAATGTTTAACATATTTTGTATAATTATTCGTAAATAATAGCACTTAAATGAAAAACAATTATTAATTATTAATATAGATATAAATATCTCAGTATTGTAACTATATTTAATAGAACGTTTTAAAACGTTCGTATCTTTTGTTTTTGCACGCAGCGTACAACGCATTATGTTGGTAAACACGAATGTAATTCTGAACATTGTTCATAGTTTTTATTTTCGAACATAATGTTCCCGAACGTGTATCTGGTTCCGTCATCAGACGTAAGAGAGGGAAGTATCCTACCCAATTTGACCCCATAGTTTCAACCGTAGGACCTAGACTCGTTTCAAACGCGTATTTTAAAAACACGAGACTTCTCACAACGGCCAAAGTAATGGTCATATTTATTTTAACCCACCACTGTCAGTAACATTTAGGCAGAGCATCAGACTGCCCTTCATTGTTGAGCTGCGTGGATTGTTGAATTGTATACGACGTTTCGGCGGAATTTGCACCTGGTATTGTCAGGGTGATGATGACAATTGCAAATGCAGTGTTCGCCGATCTTTGTTTGCTGAGAGAACATTATTAATTAATTCAATAGTAAATGGATATTTAACGTGATAGTTCAGTTGGTATAGCGACTGGTTACAGGCTGGACGGTCCGAGCTCGATTCCCGATAGAAGCAAGAAATGTTTCTCTTTTCCATAGCGTCTAGACTGGCTCTGGTGTCCACCCAGACTCCTGTCCAATTGGTTTCCGGGGCTTTTTCCCTGGGAGTAAACCGACTGGCGCGTGAAGCAGACCACTCACTCCCATCCAATGCCGTGGTCAAGAATGGTGAGGCTGTACCTCCACTAAACCATATGTCTTCATGGCGTAATGCTTAATTAATTAGGAGCAGAAAAAACTTTACCTCGTACCATTAAAATGTATTTAAAATGTAGGTAAAAGAGTGCCTATTCTGAAATGGATCCAGGAAGTATCCTCGCACCAATTTGTATAAGATAAGTGTTAATATCATCCCCCACCTACCCCTGGGTCTACAATAAGACGTCTTCCATTCAAGTTTTCGATCAAAATTTTGTATTCATTTGTGATATCTCTCGTTTTTTCCTGTTTGGTAAAGAGTACAGATTATGCAGCTCCAGCTTAAGCGGTCTCTTATCGATTCTTACAGCTCAAATCCAAATATGCTCCTCTGTACTCTGGTCTCAAACACTGAGACTGCAATATAAAGAGGGCCGCTTTATCCAGTGGGCATTTTGGGCAGCTGCCAAGGGCCCAATTATTGTGGGCGCCCCCTACCGCGAGGTGGTCGGTGCCCTGAGCTTAAACTTTCCAAGATTGTGTCCTAAGAAATTGTTTCTCAACCGCTAGGCCGCAGCCCGCGGCCCGCTACCGGGCCCTCGTCTTAACAAAAAAACAACCTTTACCCGGACGCGGTCTCACAAGGGTTGAGAACCTCTGTCCTAATTAGTTAGCTTTGGGGCGATTATGAAGAATGCTGTCTTCTGGGAGGTGGTGTCATGTAGTCCATTTCAAGTTCACCGACGTTTAGGAGGCGCGTACTGCCTCAATCTCCAGAGTCAAAGAGGAGCGGCAAGTTTGCTTGGTTTATTCTTCGTCCCTGAACTTATACCAGACTAAACAGCATCACATTCCAAATATCTGAAAACTATTTGCCAACGGCCTGTTACGTTTTCAGTATTTTATATTGCTAGTGTGGTGGGACTAAGTCCCTTGTACTGCGGCCACTTCTGGCCTATTGTACCAGCCCCAGATGATAGGTGAGGGTGATTGTGGAGCAATTAGTGGAATAAAGATTGGCAGGGGAAACCGAAATACTCGAAGAAAACCTGCCCCAACGCCACTTTGTCCACCACAAATCCCACTTGACCAGACCCGGGATCGAACCCGGGTCGCCGCAGTGGGAAGCCGGCGACTAACCGCTTGAGCTATGTCGCGGCCTTACGTTTTCAGTAAGTTATATATTTGTTTTTATATTGTGTGACTTAATCGTTTCCTGTCCTTATCGCCCCTGTTAATGTAACGCATATAAATTTAATATTTGAATGAAATATTAAGGTACTTTTTAAAAGTAACGCCAGAGAGCTCTAAGATTATAGTCTGCCCAAGGCCCATTATTGCCTTAGAGCGATCCCGGATGTTGAAACAGAAAACAGTGAACAACATCGGCTCAAAAATTGTCTGGGGCTCACCCAGCCATATATCCAACGGACAAGGGGGGCTCTTTCTCCGAGAGCCTCCCTACCGTAATTAAAATAAATGTCTTCTCAACATCTTGCTGTCGGCTCTCAGTACGTCAGCGGCTGCATACTGAGCTCTCGAAAGCGATATATCATAACGAACACGCCATCTATAAACCAAAATCTATGTTTTGTGCTGTTGGCTTTTGAAGTTTAATGTTAAATTCAGAAATAGGTGGGCTTTTTCTTTTTTGAGGCAGTCTTATATATATATATATATAATATCAGCCGAAGAAGTTTTCTTTTAACACAGGATGGGATGAGACTGAGTCCACTTGGTATGACGGCCACTATTTGGCCTCTTGTACCAGCCCAGGATGGTAGATGAAGATGAATGTAGAGCAGTCGGTGGAATGAGAATTGGCAGGAGAAACCGAAGTACTTGGAGAGAGCGTGCTCCAGTGCCACTTTACCCACCACAAATCCTACATGACCTGACCTGGATCGAACCCGGGCCGCCGCTATGGTAAACCGGCGACTAACCGCCCGAGCTATGGCACGGCCTCCCTGAGACTTAAATTCTTGCTGTAGAAAGTAAAGCCATCCCTGTAACAGGCCATGGAGGTCCATAGAATTGTGAGACGTCAAGGCTCCCACATTATCTAGACAGTCGGCTCAGAGATGGGGGTGAAGTTGTCAGCCTTACGCGCCGCCGTTTACCCCCAGGAAAATCCCTGGTACTCTTTTCCGTTAGAGGGTGAGTCGATCCCAGAGACATAGTGCGGCTGAAAGAATTCAGTCAATTGGAAAATCCAACGACTCATCGTGAATCGAACCCGCGACCTTCCGGCTTGTAGCATTGTGCCCCAACCAACTACACTACCGCGTGCCCCAAGTCCTTTCTGTAGTCGGTAGTCTTCACGGCCGGAGCCAGTTCGCTGGTGCTAGTACTGGCATCTGAGGAGAATGGTTTCAGCGAAGAGCGGCGACGGTTCGACATAACTCTATGTTATGAGAGCAATCAAATCCCGGATTCTGTTCCTAATCTGCATTGCTTGATCGACAAACGACAAGCGACGATATTCCAGTGTTTAACGTCGCTGAACATGCAAATATTTTGCCTTCTGGGTTATGACACCATGAAGTATTGCAGAAGCCACTTCTGCTCTATCTTATCTCGATTTAGGGGTTGATAATAAACGGGATTTTGGTTGGGAATTGGATTTATCGAACACCCCCCAGATCGTAACTACAAGTAATTATAACACTCGCTAATTTATTAGCCTTCTCAGTTTGTTTTCACTGGTCGTTTCCCGGTAACGGTTCGAAACAATGTCCTTGCTTACTGACTGGCGAATGTCGCACAACTGCCTGCTCAGTTAGACTAGGAACACACACAGCGACATCGATCGTACGACGTCCGTACGGTTCATATCGCATTAAGTAGTAGAATATAAAGTGTAGTCTTAGCTTTCATACGTGACGACATGCGACATCTACCGTACGACAGTCGGAGAGCAAAGAAATGTATTTGGTCGCTCTAGTGTGAAAAGGAGGCCGTACGGCAAAAAAAAATCGTACGACTTTTTCCGTACGTCCGATGTCACTGTGTGTGTTCCTAGCCTAAATTTGAGTCTGACCGACGGTCAGTCGGCCAGACTGTCTCGGAATAAAGCACCCATCTGGGGCTTACGACCAGATTTTTATTACTGTCAGACAGTTTCAGGTTTGCTGATGTGGGGCGCTCTCTCAGACGAGAGGACGGGTCTGTCATTTGCTTATGGTCCTCGACAGCACAGTCATTCTCAGATCCGAGCCCCGTGGGTCTCGTGACTATATTTTACTGTCTCAGATTTGAGACTTCCCTTTTCGTCGCCTCCTACGACGCGCAGGGTCACGATGGAGGTATCTGACGCCACCACCACACGGTGAGACTTCCCTTTAAAGTCAAAGTCACATTGCGACTGACGATCAATCAGTCATTCTTGGTGTCGAACCAAATCTGCGGCTTATGACCATTGTTGTAGTTTATTGGTTGTTGTGGGAACATGTTTGTTTGAAAAACCGTTACTCAGCAACGGCTGCCGCATATTCGTTTATTCCGAGGTCGTTGCCTAGCATCGGCATGTTTATAGAGTCATTACTTAGCAACGGGTCCACACGGTACAATATAAAGACAGATGTACTTCCGAAACTTTGACAACCATGTACGAATACACCCGGTGACCTCTATTCGCAAGATGCTCTGTTCGAATCCCGGCCGGGACAACGGCTTTACTGACTGAGGATTTTCGTGGTTTTCCTCAATTCCTCCAGGCATGTGCCGCAGTTGCATTGATTAGGCGACGATCCTTTCCTTCCAGATCCCCTCTAATTCCTCGTTCATTTATCAACCCATCATCTGACGCTAAATATCCCCGATAACGAAATCGT